CAACAACTGACATAGAAACTGGCTGATCAACCCACAAAAACAAAAAATGCAAAATTTTGCGAAAACTTATTCCCAGCATTTACACATACATACATATATGTACATATTTATATATGCATATATACACCCAAATAAAAAAATATTGCTCTGAAAATTATTGCCCCAAAAAATCGCTTTCGTTACGCGAGTATATTGACATTGTTGCGATCTGGTTGTTACTGTTTACGTTTATTGCGCTGCCATTGACAACAACTTCGCCGCTTGACCTTGTAAATCTCGCTTYAAACAACAAAGTTAGCGATATTTTTACGCTGCTTTGTGAAAMAATCACTTGAAAAACGCCAACACACGGCAGGAATAAAGATGAACTTGGCAAAACAATCAAAAATTGGCGCAAAAAAAATKTAGCAACAAACACACACCGTACAACAACAATAAACACTTGGACGTTGCACGCATTTTGCATACGAAATTGACGCCTTGAACGCAGCGCGCCGCTATGAAGTTACTGCTGCCGTGCTGTTGTTGTTGTTGTTGTTGCTTTTGTTGTAAAATGAGTAACAACAGTTTCGCATACAATGTACRGCTCCAGTGGAAATGTGACGCGCCACAAACACGAAAAATGAAATAATGAAATTATATCGCCTTTTCAAGATCTGTAGTGTTAAAACTTTTGTAAGACATTAAAAAATTTAACGCCACGCTCACCTGACATGCCAATACACACACACACACCCATACACCGACTGAAGCATACACACATACACATTGTAATAAACACAAATATGCGGCAGCAAGCGCCTCAAGTTTCATTATGTGATATTTACCGTACGCTCAGACGGGTGGGTGGCTATTGGAGGCTGRGCGAAGCGTGCGCGCGGCTGCGTTGAACAGTGCATTCAACAAGTTTTCCACTTGAAGCTACTTGCTTTTTTACAAATTCTTGTCTTCCCTTCTCTTCTGCGCGTGCTAYCTTTTGCTGATTTTTRTCAAAATATAAGGCAAACGCTGGGGACACGCTGCCGCAAAACGAGGCTTGTGRAACGTCAAAGATTTTTATCACATTTCTCTCTGACACTCCGAACAAACCAGCGCACACACACACACGCTCATATACGTGCAAGCTAACTGATTGCGGTGTATTTCACACTGCATATTTTATGCTCGCATTGTTGTTGCATGTTTGTATGTACTTTTTGCTTACATTTTTTTTATGCGCCAACAACAACGTTTTAATAAGCGACAATTGAATGAGAGACGAAAATGTACTGTGGGAAGCGGCAAACTGCGCGCGCTGCCCTGTGTGCTGCGCTTATCGGGGGCACAAAATCGCGCAGGAAGACAGGCAGTCAGGTTGACTGAAATGAGCAATTGACAGTTGGTGTAAATGTCAAGTTGAACAAGCCAGCCGGCAGGGGTGTGAGCCGGCACTTTACTATTGTGTTGCATGTGGTTTCTGTTGTTGTTGTTRGTATAACTGGTGTGATATGCGTGTAGTGTGAAGATGCTGGGGCAGCAGGAATCCGTTCGGCGACACGAATGTGGCGAACAAGTGTATGGCATGATTATCAGCAGCTTTCTCATCAGGCTCATCAACGACAACGACTGACAGAGCCATCAGCCATCAGCCATCAGGCAGCAGGCATCAAAAATCAGCCACCAGCCCAAAACACATAAAATGAGGTTAAATGATTGTGTTGTGCGTTCTGTTATCGAGGGAGGGCAAATGAGTTGATGGAGTCGCAGATAAGCGAAGAGCGTGGRGACTAACTAGCATTGTGCTGCTGTGTGGAGTGCCAATCTGAGAAGAATTGAAGTGCTGG